TCCTCCCTTGGATGAGTTAATGAACATGTTGGTCAGCTTCGAGTCCACCATTAAGAAAGAGAAGTCTGTTCTCATTGCTGCTACTTCTGGAAAGAAGAGTTCTTTCCAAAAGAAGAGAAAGGAAAGAGTTCCCTTCCCAAACAGCAAGTTCGAAGTGGGTGAAGGTAGTGGGGGCCCCAAAGCAAAGGTTAGCAAGCAAGTTGATGATGCTTGCCATCACTGTGGAAAGAAAGGACATTGGCGCCGCAACTGCAAGGCTTACCTGAAGCAGAAAGTTTCTGAAAAGGGTACGTATTTCATTGACGTAAATTTGTCTGTCAACTCTTCTTCTTGGGTATTGGATACGGGCTGTGGCTCACATTTATGCAATGATTTGCAGCTAATGACAAGAAGTCGAAGACTTAGAGCGGGTGAGACCTTCCTAAGGATGGAGAATGGAGCAAGAGTTGCTGCTGAAGCCATTGGCACAATTTACTTAAATGTTTTGGATTCTAGTTTTCCTATTGTTTTGAACGATTGTTTATTTGTTCCGTCCCTCATTAGAAACCTTATTTCTATTCCTGTATTAGATATTGAAGGTTTTACTTTTGTTTTTGGAAATTCGATTTGCATTATACAAAAGAATGAGAATTTGATTTGCAAAGGACGACTATTAAACAACTTGTATGAACTAAATCCAAATGAAATACCTATTAATGTTATATCAGCAAAACGTAAGGAGATAGATCAAAACCCCGCACAACTTTGGCACGCTAGATTAGGTCATGTCTCTTTAAGAAGGATGAACGATTTTGTCAGTGAAGGATTGTTCTCTTTGGAGGACGTGAAATCACTACAAACTTGTGAATCTTGCCTTAAAGGAAAAATGACCAAATCACCCTACAAAGGGAAAATGGAACGAGCCGAGGGTCTTTTGGATTTGATCCATACAGACGTATGTGGTCCACTAAGTGTTAGTGCGAAGGGTGGATATAACTACTTCGCTACCTTTACCGACGATTATTCTAGGTATGGGTATGTGTACTTGATGAAGTACAAGTCTGAAACATTTGAAAGGTTCAAAGATTTTAGACATGAAGTAGAAAAGCAACTCGGACGAAGTATTAAGAAGCTGCGATCCAATCGTGGTGGAGAATACTTGAGCATCGAGTTCATTGACTATCTAAAAGAAAATGGGATACAGTCCCAATGGACTCCACCGGGAACTCCTCAACTTAATGGAGTATCCGAACGTCGGAATCGAACTTTATTAGATATGGTTCGATCAATGATGGGGTTCACGAACTTACCGGCATACTTGTGGGGTCATGCACTTCGTACTACCGCGTATTTGCTGAATAGAGTTAACACCAAAGCAGTTAAATCCACACCTTATGAACTTTGGCATTCCCGAAAACCCAACTACAAACATATTAGGATATGGGGTTGTCCCGCTTATGTGAAGCGGTTAGTGGGAGATAAGTTGGATAGTAAATCCGACTTGTGCTATTTTGTGGGGTATCCCGAAGACTCAATGGGATACGAGTTCTATTATGTCAAAGAAGCAAAGACGTTTGTTTCAAGAAATGCCACCTTTTTGGAAAGGGAGTTTCTATCCGATAGAAAGGGCAGCATGATAGAACTTGAAGTAGTTCAAGAACCACAAAATGAAGTTCAAACGCAAGAACAAGTAATCGAACCAATACAACAAACCACTAATATACCTCCTGAACCTACGGTACGTAGATCCGAAAGAGTTCGGAAAATGCCGGATCGGTTATTCCTCCTCGAGAATGATGAAGATCATGTTCATCTTGGACAAGATCCAAGAACATACAATGAGGCCGTATCGGATGCGGACATGGGACATTGGCTAACTGCCATGAAATCCGAAATGGACTCCATGTACTCCAACAAGGTGTGGACCTTGGTAGATCCACCTAAGGGAATTGTTCCTATTGGCTGCAAGTGGATCTATAAGAAGAAAATTGGAGAGGATGGAAAGGTATGGACCTATAAAGCTAGATTGGTAGCGAAAGGATACACTCAAAGGCAAGGTGTTGACTATGAGGAAACCTTTTCGCCAGTTGCGGTGCTGAAGTCCATTAGGATTTTGCTGGCCATAGCTGCGTGGTACGACTACGAGATATGGCAAATGGATGTGAAGACCGCCTTCCTTAATGGAGATATTGAGGAAGAAATTTACATGGCGCAGCCGGAAGGCTTCATATCTTCTGGAAGTGAGCAAAAGGTTTGCAAGCTCCAGCGATCCATTTATGGATTGAAACAAGCATCCCGAAGTTGGAACATTAGGTTCGACTCAACTATCAAAGAGTTTGATTTTGAGAAGAATCCGGAGGAACCTTGTGTATACAAGAAGGTTAGTGGGAGGGCAGTGATATTTTTAGTGCTTTACGTTGATGACATTCTGCTCATTGGGAATGATGTAGGAATGTTGCAGCAAACAAAAGCATGGTTGTCCACACGTTTCTCAATGAAGGATTTGGGAGAAGCATCTTATGTATTAGGAATACGCATCTATAGAGATAGAGCGAGAAAGATGCTTGGTTTATCCCAAAGCCTGTACATAGACACCGTTATGAAACGGTTTAGCATGGAAGAATCCAAGAAGGGATTCTTGCCAATGTCCCATGGGGTTCGTCTCTCGAAATCTATGTGTCCGCAAACACCTAGTGAAGTCGAGGAGATGAAAAGGACGCCCTATGCTTCTGCCATAGGAAGCATAATGTATGGCATGCTATGTACGAGACCCGATATTGCGTATGCTGTAAGTGTCACAAGCAGATATCAGTCTAACCCCGGCCCGGCTCACTGGAAAGCCGTGAAAGATATCCTCAAGTACTTGCGAAGGACTAAGGATATATTTTTGGTCTATGGGGGTGCCGAATTGAAATTAGAGGGTTTTACCGACTCTAGTTTTCAATCGGACGTGGACGACTCAAAGTCGAATTCTGGATTTATATTCACGCTTAATGGTGGTGCCGTGTGTTGGAAGAGTTCCAAGCAAAACACGACGGCTGATTCCACTACCGAAGCGGAATACATTGCAGCGTCCGAAGCTGCAAAGGAAGGGACTTGGAAAGGAAATTCATCCAAGAGTTGGGTGTCATTCCTGATGCTAGTGATCCAGTACCGTTGTACTGTGATAACACCTGAGCCGTGGCACAAGCTAAAGAGCCGCGATCTCATCAGAAGTCGAAGCATATTCTGAGGAAGTATCACGTGATCCGAGAGATCATTGATAGAGGTGAAGTTAAGGTAGAACGAGTCACCTCGGAAGAGAACGTTGTAGACCCCTTCACGAAGCCTTTACCGAGATCGGTCCATGAGAAACATCGAGAGTCGATGGGATTGCGGTTTATGGGTAGTTGGCTTTAGGTCAAGTGGGAGATTGTTAGAGTAGGTGACCAACAAGCCAACATGTGGCTGTGGTTTTTCGTATTTATTATTGTAATAAACGAACCTTTATTCGTATTAATGATAAAACACCTCGGCATTCTATATCTTTGTCCCTTTGTCACAAGCATAGATATAGTCCTTACAGTTATTATAAGTACTAGTAATTGATCGTTAGGATCGTGAGATATTTACTTAAGTATTATAACTGTTAAACGTGTTCCTAGTCGAAGGGTTACGCCACTAATGAGGATATCGGCCTTTCCCATTAAGACTAGCACTTAGTGTATGTGTACTGCATCTCATCAGTAAACGGTATTGTGATATCGGCATGCATAAGTGGGTGCTCGTAAGTTGACGAGTTCACTGAACTCCCTCACCCTAGAAATCTCTAAGTGGTTCCCAATAATCGAGTAGAGATATCTATGGTATAGTTGTACACCATTAGTCCTTATGACCTAGACATCACCGTGACTTCACTAGAGGACCAGCTGTATCGTGACCTGTCCCTGAGTTCCACCGAGGCCCATCCCAAGGGCCAGTGTTCGTGCAGTCCGAAATCTAGTGGGAGGTCTGTGCATTGTAGTCGGGGATTCGATCGTAGAATAGTCTTGGATGTCCTGTGTGTTCTGAAAGTTTGTAATCATTCTAAGTCTCTGGCCATAGCTGACTAAGTGATGATTAGAGAATTTGATTCTCTAGGTCATGCACGTGACGATTACAACACTTGGAACGATCGCACCGTCATCGAACATATAAAGAGGTCTCGATGAACCAATGCCTCTAGTTCGATCGGGACATATGAATCGAAGGGACCGTACTGTACGTTAACTATATCTGAAGGTTCTTGCAGGCACTTCATTTGTATCTAGGGAATCATGACGCGTAGTTTCTAGACGCCAATCTTGATTCGTTGGGTGATTAAGGTGAAACGAGCTTCATCTTAATCGTAACTCTAAGGGACGAGTTTTAACCACAAAGAGTTGTGGGCCCACGGCTAGCTTACACCTGAACCATCGAGGGTCACACTGCTCGTGCACATGAGATCTTTGAATAAACGGCACTATGCCAAAACACATTTCAGGCGACGTTATTTTGCGACGTAAAAACCCCGTTTGCGACGAAATTTGTAATTTTGCGACGTTTATTTTGCGACGAAATGTGCCGCGAAAAAAGTCAAAAAAATGCCCGTCGCAAATATGTGCGACGTTTTTATCGTAATGTCGCAAACGTTTGCGACGATTCTGTATAACCGTCGCAATATTATAATTTTTTCGTCTGCTGATTTATTGCGACGATTTTGCCAATACGTCGCACATTTCGTCCACCAACCGCGACTCATATATATCGTCGCAAATTTTTTGCGACTATAATTTCCGAAATTATTTCGTCGCAATTGCTTTTAGCTTTGCGTCATTTTTTTGATAAAGTCGCACAGTTTTGTTACGAAATTGCGACGAATATATAGTTACTGTCGCAAAAAAAGTTCTGCTATTGCGACTAATTTCCAGAAAACGTCGCAAATATATAAATATTTTTATTTAATATTTTACTGATATTTATTTTAATTGTTATTTGACCTGTAGTAATAAATAATTCAACTATAATTAAATACACAAAAACATTAAACAACTCGCTTAAATTAAATAATCCAAAACATTCTTCCAAAACATAAAATCGTCGAAACATTCCAAAACACATAATTATCAAACACAAAATCATCCAAAAATTCTATCAAAACACAAGATAATGCAAATAACAACTTAAATCATCCAAACATGAAATAAAAGTACCCAAAACCATTGTTGTAGAGGAAACTAGTTGTCGTCGCCGGGTGGATTCTGGGGATGGAACTCGACACCTTGAGCCCGAAAATATTCGACCATGGCTTTCATAGTACTCTGCATTTGATTCATCTCGTCCTTTAAAGTCTGATTGTCTTCTTTCAAAGCCGCTATTTCTTCATCTCTAGCAGCAGAAGATAAGTTGGACCTCGCCCCTTTCTTTGAACTTGAGCAACCAAGTCCTAGTCTTTTAGTTTTTCCTAGTACTCGTTCGCAAGCAATCGTGTTAGCGGTGCTTTCATCACTCCCATCATTCATACATTCTTGATAGACTCTGTCCAAATCCGCCTGAGTAATATAAAAAAGTGTATTAACACTAATTACTTGATACAAAGTATAAAATAAAATAACAATTCAAATAAAAATATACCAACTAATTTGCTCAACCCAAACATTTTCAAGTAAACAAAAACACAATAATTCATATATAAAGATCGACCAACTACATTAAACAACCAATATATATAAATACACCAACTACATTGGTCAACCCAAAGTTGTTCAAGTAAACAAAAACACAATAATCCATACATAAAGATCGACCAACTACAATAAACAACCAACATATATAAATATACCAACTACATTGCTCAACCCAAAGATGTTCAAGTAAACAAAAACACAAGATTTCATATATAAAGATCGACACAATTGCTCAATTCACGTAAAGATCCACCAACTACATTACACAATTCATCGATACCTAAGTACGAAATAAATCCATAATCCATCAACTGCTTGACCTGCCCCAAATATAACATTGATTCCATCTGTCTGTGATAAAACCTCGTCGCCCGAAGGTGGAGGTGGTGCCCCTTCCTCGGGAAAACGACTGTGGCCCATAAAACACTGTTTGTTCGATTTGTACAGCCGCTCAGATACTGTATTTTCACCACAACTCGGGCAAGCAAGATAGCCACTTGTGCTCCACCCTGATAAGTTACCTAATGCTGGAAAATCATTGATAGTCCACAAAATGGCCGCTCGCATATTGAAGTACTGTTTGGTGGATGCATCAAAGGTTCTAATTCCAGTAACCCACAACTCTTTCAGCTCCTCTATCAGTGGCTGCAAATAAACATCGATGCCATTTTTCGGTCCTTTAGGACCAGAAATAAGCAAAGACATCATCATAAAAGAACGTTGCATGCACATATTTGGTGGTAAGTTGTAAGTCATTAGAATAACCGGCCACGTGCTATACTTACTACTCAATGATCCAAATGGATTGAATCCATCTGTAGCCAAGCCGAGCCTTACGTTTCGGGGGTCTGAAGCAAATGAATCATGCTTCTTATCAAATTCTTTCCACCCATCAGAATCGGCAGGGTGCCTTAAACAACCATCGTTACACCGAGACTCAGCATGCCATCTCATATGAATTGATGTTTTCTCGCATATGAGCAAACGTCTGAGTCTAGGAATTAACGGGAAGTGTCGGAGGACTTTCTTAGGTACTCTTTTGCGATGAGAGGTTGAACAACTTGGTTCATTTTCTGTGGGACTCTTCCATCTTGAAGCATCACACACTTTGCATTTGTCCAAGTCTTTGTCATTCTTCCAGAACAACATACAATCATTCTCACATGCATCAATTTTGACATAACCGCATCCCAACTTCCCGATAAGCTTCTTAACTTCATAGAAAGAATCGGGAATATTTAGGGAAGGAATCTTTTTCATAAGTTGGAGGGTTTCTGAAAATGTCTTATCGCTCATTTTACCCCGAGATTTGATTTTATAAAAGTCCATCATGAAGGAAAGTTTAGAGTTATCAGTGCAACCTTCATATAAAGGGATACACCACTCTTCAATGAGTTTGCGGAGATCATCACTTTCTGAGCTGGACTCTTCACCTAGGGCATGTTGAGCAGGATTGAGACATGCTTACAATAATTCATCCATTGTGGGATTAATATCGGCACTCATGTCATCGTCTTCATTCAAATGTACAACACCAAACCCCCCTACTTCACTAGCTTCTTCTTCGTTTACTTCGCAAAGAACCCTACGGTACTCTTCATCAGACTCCAAATGCATTACCCATTGTCCTTCGCCATAGGATTTATCCCAACCCCTCCAAAGTAAATGCTCATGAACGAATTCACGATCCCCGACTTTTCGACATTTGCAGTCTCTACATGGACACCTTATTTTGTCATCAATGGCCGCCTTATCGAAAGCAAAGTCGAGAAATTCTAAACAACCATTTTGAAATGCGTCTAATCGATGATCATCTAGCAAAACCCAACTCCTATCCTTCGGCATTTTTACTTAGAATATATTCGCAACTGAGGAACATAGAAGGTAACGAGAGATTTAAATTTATATATTCGTCTCTCTCGGAATAATTTAATTTCGGAGTATATATATAGTAGGGATTCCTTCATTACCAAGAAAAGAAAGAAAAAACAAATGCGATGACGTTCGAACCCAAATTGATTTTCTAAATAGATATTGAACTGTATTTACGTTCTATTTGATTTTAATATAATTATGTTGAATCCAAACAAATTCTAGTCTAATATAATATGAACCGCGTTCAAGATGAGTTTTAAATTAAATGCGATATATATTTGAACTTGATTTGTTGCTATTATACATGTAAGTATGTAACTAGAAAATAATAGTAATGTCTCGCAAGAGAGCCAGTGTCAACCATGTTCGAATCCCCTTATTCGCTAGGTCTAGCTGGAAAAAAATGGAAATAACGAATTCCGAATGGATCTGGTCTAAATTTTCCGATATTCGAATAAGTTTTTTATTTCAATTTTTGAAATTTTGATTTATTATTTTTTAGAATGAAAATTTTCATTTCAAAAAAAAAAAAAAAAAAGAGTAGATATATAAAAAGTGCTTATTCCATCTCTCAGATTTCCATCCTACCCACAACAGTGAAAATTATATTTTCCATCCTCAAACATTACGCACTTATTCTGAGTTAATTCATCAATTGAAAGCATAATTTGATGGCCTATTGATGAGAGCAATCAATTACATTCAAATTATGCACCTTATATATTTTCAAATACGAGAAAACATAATTGATAACAAAAAAAATGATTCTCAAATATTCAAAAACTTACCCTCGACGGCGGAGTGAATCGAAGAACGGCGGAGTGCAGTGGTGGCAGGGGCAGCGGCAGCGGCAACGGCAACGGCGGGAGCGGGAGCGGCAACGGTGGGAGCGGGAGCGGCAACGGCGGGAGCAGGAGCGGCAACGGCGGTGTGAAACAGGGAGGAGGAGCGGGAGAAGAAAGACTTCGGTGATGTCGTCGGCACGGTGGAGAATATAGAAGCGTCGGCGGCGGCGGTGTGGAAGACGGAGGAAGGGCGGAGGAAGCGGCGGTGGCTATCTCGTTACTTCGCTGCACAAGGCCTTATGCCGTCACCAGCGACGGCGACGGCGACGGCGACGGCGGAATGATTTGCTTCGGCGGAGGAGGGGTGTGGGAGCAGCTGCGATTTTGGCGGAGGAGGGGTCTGTGGCTGAAATGTTCTGAAATTAGGGTGTGGAAAAGGGGATTTAATTTGGTGTTGCGACGTTTTTATCTATTAGTCGCAGGATAGAAAGTAACATTGCGACGTTTTATTATATTTTAGTCGCAACAACAAACTTATGGAAATAACATTAGCGACTTTACATTATCAAACGTCGCAAAAAAAAATATTGTGAAAAAAAACGCAATTATATTGCGACGTTTCTATATTTACGTCGCAAAACAAATTTAGAAATTTTTTAATTAGAAAACCATTGCGACGCAATAATATACAAAAGTCGCTAATTTTTCAATCATATTGCGTCGTTTCACCATTATCGTCGCAATTATTATTAAGTAAAAAAAATATTTTTTTCTTTTTTTTTTATTGCGTCGAAAGAGTCCATAAACGTCGCAAATGTGCGACTTATATACCAGATTCGTCGCCTTTTCTTTAGGGAACTTTTCGTTTCAAAGTTTGCGATGATTTCCGCGACGGAACTACGAATCGTCGCAATATTTACTCATTTTTTAAAATTTGAATTTAAATTATGTATTTATTGCGACGATTTGTCAATAAAACGTCGCAATGTGTGCGACGTTTCCGTAATCGTCGCAAAAAAAACGTCGCCTGAAATGAAATTTGGCCTAGTGCGGTCAGAGATAAAATAGTTTATCTTTGCATGATTGGAAGTCAATACGATTGAGTCCAACATTCGTAATTTGGAATTACGAATGAGAATAAGAAAAAGGAAAAGAATAGGCGAACGTTGTAGTGGACTTTCTAAATTGGGAAGTTTCCAAATTTAGAAAGTGCACTGAACTAGGGTTTCCACTTTTAGAAAGTTGGAAAATGAGAATTGACACTCGTAATGACGAGGACTTTATAATGATTCCGAAAATATAATCGTTGCAATTTTTCGGTCATTGGATTGAGAGAAACGAGCAAGTAAAAGTACTAGCGAACTTAAGCTGTTGGGCCCGGTCCAACTTAAGCCCGCTAGGGTTTTATGCAAGACACTATAAATACAAGATTTATAGGTCTTGCACACAAGAAGTGAAAACCCTAACCCTAGCAGCCGTTCTCCCTCTCTCTCTCGCCCTCTCCCCGCGGCCGTCACCGGCGCCGTCGCCGGAACTTCACCGGAATCGGCCGTTCGTCGGCCGATTGTTTCGGTAGTTTCTTTCCTTCTCTTTTTCTTCCGTTTTTCTAACTATTACGTGTCTAGTGCCACGTGTTTAGTAGATCGAAGTATACGAGGTGAAATCCGAGAGGAGGAAGATCGAAGAGCAGCGCACGAGCCGAAGCCGCACGCTACCCCACGCGCCGCCCCGGAAGACCGCGCGTGAGATTCGCGCGCCACCGTGGCCGCCTCACCGCTGCTGCCGCTGCACCGCTGCTGCCCCGATTGTACGGATTGGTTTCCGTAGCAATCTCGACTTGCTTAGCGCTCCTACCTCACGCTTCAAGAGGTAAACACACGAACTCGAAGTTCTTGTATCGTTTACGTTTAAACACTATATATTCATGTTTGCTTTCGTATGATTTTATGTGATTATGTGTAATCGTTTTAAATCATTGCGAGGATGTTATTTGGTTTAAACGCGAGCATGTTAATTGATTTAAATTCGGTTAAATTAATTAGCATGTATGTTGTTATTTAATTTCGCTGGAAGCGCAAAGGTACGCAATTAATTGATTAATATTATCGGGCATGTGCTTATGTGTTTTAAACTCGTTTAATTCGCATAAAATTTTTGTTTTCCGCTGCGTACGCGTGCCCGAAACCCAACACAGACTTCACACTAGATTTCGGATTTCACGAACGTTGGCCCTTGGAGTGGTCCGCTGTGGGACTCAGGGACAGGTCACGATACAATTGGTCCTCTAGTGAAGTCACGGTGATGTCTGGGTCTTAAGGACTAATGGTGTACAACTATATCTTAGAAACCTATTACTCGATGAATGAGAACCACTTATAGATTTCTAGGGCGAGGGAGTTCAGTGAACTCATCTAGTATGAGCACCCACTCAAGTATGCCGATGTCAACACCGAGGACTGATGAGATGCAGTACAGATACACTAAGTGCTAGTCTCAAAAGGGAACGGCCGGTATCCTCATTATTGGCGTAACCCATCGACTAGGAACAAGGTTTAACAGTTACATTACATTGCTGAGTTATCTAATGATTCTACTAGATCAACTCACAGTAATAGAGTAACTCGTTAGGACTATATCTATGCTACTTGCATGGGATAAGAGATATAGAATGCCAAATGAAATATTTTATTATTACGAACGAAAAACGATCGTTTTATTACAAGATAAAAAGAAAGACCACAGCCACAAGTTGGCTTGTTGGTCACCTACTCTAACAATCTCCCCCTTGACTTAAAGCCAACTACTCATAAATCTAAGTCCCATCGACTCTCGATGTTTCTCGTGGACTGATCCTGACAATGGCTTGGTGAAGGGATCTGCAATATTGTCCTCCGAGGTGACTATGTCTAGCTTAACTTCACCTCTCTCTATGATCTCTCGGATCACATGGTATTTTCTCAACACGTGATTCGACTTCTGATGAGCTCTTGGTTCCTTAGCTTGCGCTACGGCTCCGTTGTTATCGCAGTACAGCCGTACTGGATCGCTAGCGTTCGGAAATACACCCAACTCTTGGATGAATTTCCTAATCCATGACCCTTCCTTTGAAGCATCTGATGCTGCAATATATTCAGCCTCGGTGGTGGAATCAGCCGTCGTGCCTTGTTTGGAACTCTTC